GGATTGAAAATAAATAATTAATTACTAATACCGCAACATTACAAAATATACGTGAACTGTATTTAACGGAATATATAATTTCAATGGAAGAAAAAAAAACTTTTATTTAAAAATACAATTCTTAATTTACTGCTCACTGTTTCAAAAAGAAAAAAATGCACTACACGCAGAATAAAATGTAGAAGCAGCAAATAATTTTTAATGAACAGCGCTGTAGGAAAATATTTTTTTGGTATTGATTCTATTTATATGAAAACACTACTATAAAATCGTTTCCAAGTACGATTTTTCCGGATGAGACATGATTTTTATTCTTGTGAAACAATTACAACCACACTGAGTTCATTTCTTCCATTCATATTATTCACACATAGCAGAGCATCCCCACAGTATACCCCGCTATTTCCTGTAATTACACACGCGAAAGAATGAAGTATCTAATTCATTTAGATTTTTATGATAATAATTACTAATTATTCAGCTCACAATTGTGCGCCCCGTAATTAATTTCCTTTTTGCTGAAATAAGGATATTTACGAGAAAGAAGAAAAATAATTAAGTCTACACTACATAGAATAAAGTAATCAATCTATTCTCATGATTCATAAGAATTATTTACAGAGCCTTTTATGAAAGCATTATACCCAATTAAAGTGCACAAAATGTGTGAACTCAACGCACAGTGTGCATTAACAAGTTTCACTTTGAATACGTTATGTTGTATATATAAACTTCTCTTTATAAATGAAATATAATCAAGACAGAAGTATATTGCACGTATAAATCATTTTATGAATGAAAACAATCCTAAGAGAAATTTATACTAGAGAGAAAGAAGTATTAATCTATAATAAATAAATAATACCATAGTTATTCTACCATAAAGAATAACCTGTCTCACAGTTTATCCTGTAATATGAGTTGCAGCAATGACGCGGAAGCCACGTAATGAAATATAATAATCCCTGCCTATTGGTAATAATCAAATTTATAGTTGTCTCAACGAAGAAAAAAAAAATAACAAGATAAATAAAAGAGAAAGGGAAAAAATAAAAGGAAGAATGAGAAGAGAAACAGGAAGAGAATTAAAAGCGAGAAAGCATTAAAAAGTAAAAAAATGAAAATAAAAGAAAAATAAAAAAAAACGAAGCTAAACAAAATAAAAAACAATTAAAAAAAGAAGAAAATAAAATTAGAGAAAGAAAAAGAAAATAAAGAAAATAGAAAAAAATTAAAAAAGAAAGAGAAAAAAAAGAAAATAGAGGAAGTGTGAAAAATAGAAAAAAAGAAAAACAAGACAGAGATTGAG